CCCTTCGTAAAAGGGTTGTCTTTTTCCCCCTATTTACACTCCTTGATGTTACACTCTGATTCTATGGTTTGTGATAGCCACCTAAATCCAACACCTTTTTCACAAAAGAGCCTTTAATATGTTTCTAAGGGAAGTGAATTTGAAGTCTGATGATGCAGATTCAAGTGCAGGAGCCACAACTTAACCAGAGATATCACTTTAGACTTAACCTCTCTGTGCCATATTTTCTCTAATTGTAAATTTCTAATAATAATACTTGCCCTAATTTTTCCATAGTGTTGTTTTGAGCATGAAATGAGGCAAGAATGTAAAAATATTTTGTAAGGTTCTGTAGAAGTATATATGTTTTTGTTCTTATCTTCCTATTTTAAAAGTGTTAAAAACATTGTTTAGATTCTCCTACACTTCAAACTCCTTTCAGGCAAATTAGTTATCAGAGAGGCAAAAAGTAAATAGAAATGAAGTCAGCAGCTATAGGTCATCACAATACGCATGGACTACCCTTTACCTGCTTGGTTCCTCTGAACCTCATTACTTGGAGTGTGGTCTGTGGATCAGAAGCATTGGCATAATCTGGGAGCTTATAGAAATGCCAACTCTTAGGTCCCACCCTAGATTTACAGATTCATAATCTGCATTTTAACAAGAACTCTAGGTGCTTTGTGTACACATTTAAATTTGAGAAGCACAATATGGCATATCATGTGGCACCGGTAGCCTGCAAGATGATTCTATAGAAATGCAAATCAGAGCCACAATGAGGTATCACCTCACCCCGGTCAGAATGGCCATAATCAAAAAGTCTACAAACAATTAATGCTGGAGAGGGTGTGGAGAAAAGGGAATCCTCCTACACTGTTGGTGGGAATGTAAATTGGTGCAGCCACTATGGAGAACAGTATGGAGGTTCCTCAAAAAACTGAAAATAGAGCTATCATATGATCCAGCAATCCTACTCCTGGGCATAGGTCCGGAGGAAACTCTAACTCAGAAAGAATCATGCACCCAGTGTTCATAGCAGCACTATTCACAATAGCCAAGACGTGGAAGCAACCTAAATGTCCATCGACAGATGGATGGATAAAGAAGATGTGATACACACACACACACACACACACACACACACGTGTGTGTGTGTATATACACAATGGAATATTACTCAGCCATATAAAGAAAGAAAGAATGCCATTTGCACCAACGTGGATGGGCCTAGAGATTATCATACTAAGTGAAGTAAATCAGACAGAGAAAGACAGATATCATATGCTATCACTTATATGTAGAATCTTAAAAAAAAATGATACAAATGAACTTATTTACAAAACAGAAATAGACTCACAGACATAGAAAACATACCAAAGGGGAAAGGTGGGGGAGGGATAAATTTGGGATTAACAGATACAGACTACTATATATAAAATAGACAAACAACAAGGATCTACTGTATAGCACAGGGAACTATATTCAATATCTTGTAATAACCTATAATGGGAAAGAATCTCAAAAAGAATATATATTTATAACTGAATCACTTTGCTGTATACCTGAAACATAAATCAACTATACTTCAATACAAAATAAAAATTAAAGATGATTCTTTACAGTAATGCAGTAAGCATGTTTTATTTTAATTATTAGGTTTGAAGAATATTAGAAGAAAATATTGCTAGCTCATGAAATCTGTTATTTCATAGATTTTCCCTAAGGTGAGGCTAACAAATAGCTGACAAATAGCTTTTAAAAGATGAGTTAAGGGCTTCCCTGGTGGCGCAGTGATTGAGAGTCCGCCTGCCGGTGCAGGGGACACGGGTTTGTGCCCCAGTCCGGGAAGATCCCACATGCCGCGGAGCGGCTGGGCCCGTGAGCCATGGCCGCTGAGCCTGCGCAGCCGGAGCCTGTGCTCCGCAATGGGAGAGGCCACAACAGTGAGAGGCCCGCGTACCGCAAAAAAAAAAAATAAAAGATGAGTTAATTTAAGAAATTATAAGTAATAGGGTAAGTGATACTTGAACATGGCAAAAATTAAGAAGGTGGCTCTTGAGTGATTGACCTTTGGGTAACCTTAGCCTAGAAGCTTGGTGAGATCCAGAGCAGGGTCATAGTAGCTGTGTGGAACCTCTGAGGTGCCTCCAGCCCTGGCCAAGTGTGCATGTAGGAGGTGTAGTTCTCGTGTGTTCTGAGCACCCTGTTCAGACTAGGGGTGTTCAGAATCCTCTTCCACTAACCAGATGAGAATACGGACTGAGCGCAAGGTCTGGGACCCTTTCTTTATCTCTTTCACTCAGCGGTGTTTCGGGAAGAGCTCAAGCACCAAAATACCCTTCATTTTTCTACTGCTTAGAGGAACTTAGATGGAAGATTCTTCGATTTCTTTCACTGTGCCAGCCATTGTCAAATCTGTGAACAGTTTATCCAAGAAAGTTTTCATTCCCCATAACTCAAGTTTCTCTTGGGATCAATTATGGAGTCGAGTTCAATTCCTTATGAGGTCAGCTTTTTAAGATTTTCCTACATTTTTTCTTCTCTTTCATTTCTTCAGTAACTTTCAAAATTATAAAAGTAATACAGCTAAATTCTTCAGCATTTAGAATGTAGAGGGGGGAAACGCTTCATGAATTACAATGCTGTGCTTGTGCAAGTGCCCTGTGAATTCTCTCTGAACCATTCTAGTGCTGCTAAAATAAACACCTGTGTGGTTCTTCAGTTCATATTCCCATTTTTTTCTCAGGCCATTTGTACTCCATCTTGACATGACACTCTCTTTCTATGGTCTTTGATTAATACCCGAATCCATCACCTTAGCCAGATTGCAGAGTTTACTTGAGAAGGATTTCCTTGCAAATGAAACTCTCTAGCCTATTGATCAGTGTTTTTGCTCCCCGTGAAAAACCTTCCCAGGAAGAGGAGCCTAATATTGCATTTATATCTTCTGGGGAAAAAATGTGAAACATTAAAACGTATTAATAGGAAAAAACTTTTTCAGAGATTTATAAATTGAACAAGGGTGGTAGCTTGCACTATTGTAAAAAAAGATATCTATGAAAGTTCTTGAATTGTCTGCATACAAAGCTGAGATAGTTAAACTTGATTTTTGAAATAACACTCAGACTTCTTATTGTCATCCTGTGGACAGTTTCCACATTTTGGCTATTTTTTTTTGTTGTAGTGGAGACACATTCTAAAATAATTTCCTTCCTACAGTTGCTGAGCTTACCTACTTCCTAAATTCTTCCATTTAAAGTAATATACATGAAACAAAATTAGGAGACAAGTAGCAGACTAGGGTACAACTTTGCATATACACATGACAAAGGCCTAATTTTCTTAATATACACAGAGTTCTCTAAATGATTAAAAAAGAATAACCTAGTGGAAAAATGAGCAAGGATACAAACCTGAAGAAAATAATTTTAAATGACCATTAAACATGAAAAAATATTCAATCCATATATCATCAAACACAAATCAAAACAGGTTGTCATTTTCTTACCTATCAGGTTGACCAAAATTAAAATGTTTGAAAAACCCCAGTCTTAAAGGGTAGGGAAAAAAACATGGTGTTTTGGAATTGCGAATTGTGTAATTTTTCTGAAGAGTGATTTGGCAATATTGATCAAAATGTGAAATGCATGTACACTCTGACCATGAAATTTCACAGATACACAGAGATATATAAAATGATAGTGTTACAGCATTATTTATAATAGCTTGAACTGAAAGCAACCTCTGTCGTCCTTCAGGACAGGTACCATTATTTATTGAGCCAGTGGAGTAACATTCAGCAGCTTAAAAAATGTGTTAGATTTATATGAAAAAAGTGGGAAAAACCAAAGTATAGAAGACTGTGAATAATATGACCCCATTTGTATTTTTTTTTTTAAAAAGAGAGGGGATAAAAGGATGCTAATGTATGTGGGAAGAAAAAATTCTTTGAAAAGATGTACCAGCAACAGATAGCTGTTAATTCTAGGAAGAATTAGCATCTCCTCCTGTCCCCACTTTCATTCCCATCCCTGATAGTAATGCTCTTCCTGAGTATTAACTGAGGGTCTTCACTTTCCCTAGTGAATGGCTTTTGAGAGAGAAAACAAGTATCAGTGAAGCAGCCAAAGGGTTGGCAACTGAGGGAAAAACAAAGACCCAATATCAGAAATGAAAAGCTTTATGCTAAGGACAACAAGCCATTCTTTGGCTTGTTTAAGTGGCTCAATTAGCCACTTAAAATAATTCAGATAAACATAATGGTACTTTCCTAAAGAAGAATTTGGTTTGGATTTCCTGGGTATTTATTCCAATTTCCCATTGCTCCTATAGGGAAAACAAGGTTATTAAATTGTCCTCATTTCCATGGCTGGTTTGAGGGTGGAGGCTTTGGGTTATTGATGTAATCTTCTTTGAAGTGAACTTTTGCCTTCTTGAAATAGACCTAGACATGCCTGGGTTCCCCCAGTGCCTGGAAGTGTATTTGGACACCAGGATTGAGTTATGAAATAGATCCTACTTTTACACCTCACCTTTTCCAGTTGCCTAGCATTTTAAATTTATCCAATAGCATTTTACTTAGTTTCTTTTTTTTAGTACTTTCAGAAAACTATTTAAAATTTTGAGGTACCTCAGTTTTTAACTCAACTGTTCTATATATAAATATGATTTTAATATTTAATATAATATTTAATATTTTCCAGTTCCCTGGCCCGCCTGCCCCCGTCCCTGCCCCACTCTTCACCCCCAGGACTGCATCTAGTGTCATAAACTTGTCTTTTATTTTGCCTTTGAGGGCCTCTTACCAGCACTCTGTTTGGGTGTCTGGGGACCATATCTGGAGAAACCCTTTGCCAAGTGACAGCTCTTCTACCAGCTTTCGTACACAGTTGAGTAGGAACCATGGAAAAAAAGTTTTCTCAACTTTATTTCTGCTTTTTGCTGCCACCCAAGTTCTCCCTCTGCAGTTTTTCTTCTAGTCTGAACTCTGTGGTAGTGATGGTGCTGGTTTCTTTCAGATGGAGACTATTTTACCTTTACAAGACACGAACCTGTTGGAGTGTGTGGACAGATCATCCCAGTGAGTGTATCTCCTCACGCCTCGTATTTATTTTCATTTGAACCAGTTCTCTTAAAGATACATAAAACATGGACCTCAGCAATGTGTGTTTTCCATTACTGGGGGAAAAAAAAACTGAGTTCATGTTGTTGACATATCTTTAACAGCCTCCCTGCAAATGCTTATTTGAACAGGTTAATAGGGTTTCAGCTTTGTTACCAGGAGTTGAGTTCTCAAGTCATGGAATTCTCATGATTAAAATAAGCAAAGCAAAGTCTAGTGTATTAATAACCTGCCCTTGGTTATGGATGTCCATTCTGCTTATGGAAAATTAATACTTTCTTATATTTGCTTGTTTATTTTTTGGAACTGTGACTCACCATTTTTCCAGGCATATTGTTTTATATGGTCTTTTAATCCCGTTCTTTCCCACTGTTTCTTTTCACAAGAATCTAGATAGAAGACTCTACAGAAGACACAGCAGTACAATTAACGTCACAGTCATAATTGAAACCATCCCGGGCTGTTGTGTGTCTTGTACAGGGACATATATGTAGTGCTTAGTGTTTGGATTGGAACATTAAACATTTTTTTTTTCTCTCTGTCTCATACACAGCCTTGGCACTATACAAAACATCATCGAATCTGCCAACAGAAGATTCTAGCTAATCGTTCTGGCAAGGGTTTCAGGGAAGGCTCAATTTAAATTCTTACAGTATAGACAAGAAGTTTTCTCTTCTCAAAATATAGGAGAACAATTCAAGATAATCTTTGGCTTTGGAAACCAAAGATTTTTGAGAAATATTAATATATTATTTTAGTGGTCCATAAGCTCTAGGTTACTGTGAGATTTATTAGAGAATGAAAAGGGAAGATGAGAGATTTGGTTTAAGTTCTTCTCCTGCTAAACCACCCAGGGAAATCCTACTCAGCTCAGAGCAGGGTTGAGGTCTGTCACCTTAATTGCAGGAACTCAAACCTGCTTTTCCTGCCCTTCCCCAGACTCTTGGAGCTGCAGCTTTCACTGACAGGACATGAGCCGCTTGTCAGCCAGCTCGGCTCAATTACTGCACTCCAAGATTTATATACTGTAGATGGAATTAAAACATCACTGTGTACTCCCAAGTTTATAAACAACTAAGGGGAAAAGAAATTGGGTGTTTGGTGAAGGCAAGACACTTGTATATTTTTGCAAGCTTGCCAGGGCCAGTGAGGATCTTTCAAGGATGGCAGCTGAGATGCTTCAGGCAGAAACACATTGTGGTCAGGGGCTGAAGCCAGGGGACCAGGATTTTTGTTTTCTTTCTTAATGAAATTATCAACGACACCTGATAGTACTGAGGCTCATGCCTGCACTTATAACAATACAAGCTTACTATCCTTTTAAAATCAGTTTAAACCATTTTAGGCTGCAGACTCAGATACTCACATATGTTTTTTAGTCTCCATTAGCTTTTTTTGCAGTGTCAAGGAGACAAACTAAAACTTTTGCATACTCATCAGTAGATGCACTTTATTTTTTGTAATCATTTGTTTTGTGACACATGTAGGTAAAGAAAAAGGTGCTGCCTGGAAATATACACTGACTTCTAGTTCTTCCACACTGAAGAGCTTTCATACCAGTCTGAAATCCTGGTGTAAAAATCACAAATGCAAGAAAAAGGTGTCATACACAAGAACTTACTGGAACCAAAGGCTAATTTTAAAAACATATAAAGTAACACCAATGAAAAAAAAAAACAAAACAAAGACTCCATTTTTACCATGAGATTTCTTTTTGTGGGTGGCTGGAAATAGTAATTTGCTGACCAGAGGGAAAAGGAGAGATTTTCACGGTTAATCCTATTCTGTTCTTAATGAAGTAACTAAAAAATCCAAACATCTATACTCTGGTGGGACAGGATTTATGTTGAGGACGAGTCTGAGACATCTGAGAAGTCACAGCTTGAAAACAAAGTAATGGAGGAATACTTTTCATCTATCAACCTTGAGTTTTTGCCTTTCAGTGGAACTTCCCCCTGCTGATGTTTGCCTGGAAAATTGCTCCAGCTCTGTGCTGTGGCAATACAGTAGTTATTAAACCAGCAGAACAAACACCACTCAGCGCGCTCTACATGGGAGCCCTCATCAAGGAGGTAAGAGAAACTGACTTCAGGAGTGGCTCCCACTCTCCTTACAGTTGGAGCCTACTGGAGCATATCCGATTTAACATGCTTCGTCAGCTTTCACAAGCCACGTTTCCTCCAATTCTGTTTTGTTAGGCTGGCTTTCCACCGGGAGTCATCAATATTTTGCCAGGATACGGGCCAACGGCCGGGGCAGCAATAGCTTCTCACGTTGGCATAGACAAGATTGCGTTCACAGGGTCTACTGAGGTAGGTGCCTGAGAAGCCATAGCTTGAAGAACAGTTCTGCAAATGAGTAGAGGGTTTAAGAGAAAATTGAAAATGTTACCCATAGGCTGAACACCTAAAGAGCAGTGAATACCCAAGGTCTCAAGGAGCAGCATTGGTATCATAGCTAGAAGACTGATGAATGTCAAAGTAAAGGTGTACATTGACTATTTGATGCCACAGATCTCTGAGGTTTTTTTGTATGCCATTTGTGTGAGACCAGCCCCAGAAAGACAAACAAAACCCTATTATATTTTGAAATGAAAGGAACACATATCAGAGGCAAAAACAAACTAACTAACTGTCCCACAAAAGTGTTCCAGAAGCTGGGATTCTGAACACTTTCTTAAATCAAGATCATAAGATAAGAACTGGAGATCTAGGGACTTCCCTGGCGGTCCAGTGGTTAAGACTTCACCTTCCAATGCAGGGGGGTGCGGGTTTGATCCCTGGTTGGGGAGCTGAGATCCCACATGCCTCGCGGACATAAAATAGAAGCAGAATTGTAACAAATTCAATAAAGACGTTAAAAATGGTCCACATCAAAAAAAATCTTAAAAAAAAATAAAAAGAACTGGAGATCTAAATTAATCTCTGGTCTTATTATATCACCAAATCCTGTAGATGCAGTTTGCAGCTTACTATGGCCATGAGCCGTAAGGGGTGATATAGAGTAGAGGTCAGTAAACTTTTTCTGTAAAAGGCCAGATGGCAAATATTGTAGACTTTGCCGGCAATATGGTCTCTGCTGCAACTATTTAACTCCGCCCCTGGAGCACGAAGTAGCCATAGGTAATGTATAAACTGAACAAGGCTACAGGCCAGCACTTCATGTCCTGTACTGGCTTTGCTCTGGGGGAAGTCAGCTCTGCTTGCCTGCCTCTTGGCTCAAGCACTACTGAGCCACACAGCTTTCACGAGTTATCAGCCCTTCTGGTCACATGGGGCCGGAAGACACTCTATAGTGGGTGGTGCCGTGATTCAGCTCCTTGTCTGGGCAGGGCAAACTGGGCTGTAGGGCTAGCAAAAGTTCTTATTTGAGTAGCTGAATCAGGCAGATCTGCAACCCTCTGTGTTCCCTGATCAGAGTGTGCCCCCAGTTTGGTTCTGCAGATGAGCAAAGCCACTGGTTGGCATTACTGCTTGGTCACCGCAGGTAGGAATTCAGTCTGCCAAGATTTGTGTGCTGCAGGCCCTTACCCCCTTCACTGTCACAGTCACGTTCCCAGTGCTTGAGCTCCGCAGAGTCCCCTGCAATCCCTGTGGTACGAGATCAGAGTAGTGGCTCCCACAGATTAACTCACAATTCTGGCTTCTCTTTTCCCACTGGAGGAACCAGAGGGTCAAGAGAGATCTCTCCACATGGTGCTGCAGTGGCCTGGGGGGAGGGGCAATGCGGTCACAGTGTAGGCTGCTTTTCATAACCCTTCTAATGGAGTCTGTCTGGGTCTCTATGGTGCAGGGGAGCGCTTCAAGCTTAACCTTGTGTTCTAGGATTCTCTCAGTGATGTCTTGTTATTTTTAATAGTTGTTAGTTATGCTTCTCGTGAAGGGAAGCAAAGTCTGGAACAACCTATGTTGCCATCTCTGTAACATCAGTCCTCAGTATTTTCACTAGTACCAGGTTGCTTTAATTATTAGGTTTTAAAAGATGTGTTGTAATATGGTAGCTAAGATGCCCTCTTATTTGGTTTTTCAGAACCCTTTGGCTATTCTTTCCCATTCTTTCAGATAAAATATCAAATTACTTTTCCAAGTATCTTACCTTCCTCTACAAAACTCTCATTGGAATTTTGATTGGTGTCATATTACCTATCTATATTAAATTGAGGGATAAGTGCTCTCTCTAGAAGATTGACTTCTCATCTAGAAACATAATATAAATCTCTTCATTTATTTGTCCTATAATGTTCATCACTGATATCATCATTTACGTGTTAGGCTTTTCTTGATAAATTAATTTCTGGGGATTTAACTTTTTGTTCCAAGGATATTTCAGTTTAAAAACTGAGCACGTTTTTTTTTAAGTCGCAGTATCGTGTATTGGAAAGTTGTATTGAAATGATGACTTAATCTTTCAGGCCAGACAAGAAGTGACATAGTGAATCATTAAGAACATAAGTGCTTGTTTCCAAGTTGCCTGGGTTTGAATCTCTGTTTTGCCATTTTAAAAGATTTTTAAACTTTTAAAAAGACTTTATTGAAGTATAATTTACACACAGTAAAATGCACCCATTTAAGTACCAAATGTACACAGTCATGTAACCATCACCCAAATTAAGATATAGAATATTTCCATACCCTAAAAAGATTTGTCATACCTTTGGCCCCAGGCAACCACTGACCCTTTTTATTAATTTTTCTTATTCTATTAGTTCATACAAATGGACCGATACAATATGTACTCTACTGTGCCTGATTTTTTTTGGTGAGGGGGTTGTTGTTCAGTATTTAACGAATTATTGATATGATTGGGTTTGAATCTCCCATTTTGATTTTATTTTCTACTTGTCCCATTTGCTTTTTGTTCTTTTTCTCCTCTTTTTCTGCCTTATTTTGGATGAATTTAGTACTCCATTTTATCTTTTATTTTGGATTATTAGCTAAGCCTCTTTTTTTATATAAATTTATTTATTTTATTTATTTTTATTTTGGGCTGTGTTGTTGTGTCTTCGTTGCTGTGTGCAGGCTTTTCTCTAGTTGCGGTGAGCGGGTGCCACTCTGTTGTGGTGCGCAGGCTTCTCATTGCAGGGCTTCTCTTGTTGCGGAACACGGGCTCTAGGCGTGTGGGCCTCAGTAGTTGTGGCATGCGGGCTCAGTAGTTGTGGCTCACGGGCTCCAGAGCACAGGCTCAGCAGTTGTGGTGCATGGGCTCACTAGTTATGGCTCGTGGGCTCTAGAGTGCAGGCTCAGTAGTTGTGGCTCACAGGCTTAGTTGCTCCGCGGCATGTGGGATCTCCCCGGACCAGGGCTCGAACCTGTGTCCCCTGCATTGGCAGGCGGATTCCCAACCGCTGCGCCACCAGGGGTGCCCCAGCTAAGCCTCTTTTTAAAGTGCTTGCTTTAGCAATTACAACATGCACCTTAATCACAGTCTATTATTTAGAAGTATTATGTTACTTCATATATAATGTAATAACAGTACAACAGAATTCTTCTATTTCTCATCCCATCCTTCATGCTACTGTTGTTCTATAATTCACTACTGATGTATGTTATATAGCCCATAGTACATTGCTACACTTTTTTTTTTTTTTTTTTTTTTTTTTTTTGCGGTATGCGGGCCTCTCACTGTTGTGGCCTCTCCCGTTGCGGAGCACAGGCTCCGGACGCGCAGGCTCAGCGGCCATGGCTCACGGGCCCAGCCGCTCCACAGCATGTGGGATCTTCCCGGACCGGGACACGAACCCGCGTCCCCTGCATCGGCAGGCGGACTCTCAACCACTGCGCCACCAGGGAAGCCCCATTGCTACACTTTTTGTTTTAAAAATTCAACTGTCTTTTCAAAAAAGTTTTTAAATGAGAAAACAGAATTATTTTACATTTACTCACATACTTGCCTTTTCTGACCCTCTTCTTTTTTGTGTGTGTTTTGTTTTTCTTTGGTCCATGTTTCTTTCTGATATCATTTTCCTTCTATATAAAGATCTTTCTTTAACATTTCTTATAGTGCCGGTCCGTTAGTGAAAAATTCTCTCAGCTTCTGTTTGTCTGAAAATGTCTTTATTTTGTTTTCATTTTTTATGACTTTTTCCTGAATATAAAATTCTGATTCAACAGTTTTTATTTTATTTTATTTTACTTTCAACACTTGAAATATGTCATTCTGTTTTTTTATGACTTGCTCTGTTTCTGATAAGAAGTTAGCAGTCATTCTTATCTTTGTTTTACTGTATATAATTTTTTTTCTCTGGGGGCTTTAAAAATGTTTTCTTTTTACTGATTTTCAACAATTTGATTATGATGTGCTTCTGTGTAGTTTTCTTTGTTTTTCTTCCCATTTGAGGTTCATTGGAAATTCTTGGATCTATGAGTTTATATTTTCACCAAATTTGGAAAACTTTGGCAGTTATTTTTCAAATATATATGCTTTTTTCATGTCTGTTAATTTTTGAAAGGATGCTGAACACTGTGACCATTACCTTATTGAACACGTGGATTTTGTTTTCTTTCTTTAAAGAGTGCTGGACTTCCTTCTATAAAGTGGTTAAGTCACTTGAAGTACAGCTTGACCCTTTTGACACTTAATTTTAAGCTTTGTTAAGTACTAGCTTATCTTTTACTAAGATACTAAACTTTATTAAGATTACTAAGTTGGGATCCTTCTGGAGTTTCTACTGAATGTTCTCAGTGTTCAGCTAGGTCTTTCCACTCTGGCTAGTCAGAACTCAAATGTCCCCAACTCTGTATGAGCTCTGGGGATTATTCAGCATACAAATTACCTGGTCTTTGTTCTTTATCCAGTCTTGTGGAGTTTCACCATATGTATACCCAGTTTAGCCCTCAGCCAGAGACTTGATGGGACCCCCATAAGGTTTTTTGACTGCATTGTCTCCCTCTGGTACTAAGCCCCTCACATTTTAACCACCTTATTCTCTCTAAACTCTGATCTATTTCATCAGTTCAGTGAGACCACCGTGTTCTACTTTGGTCTCCCCATCCCATGCTGCAATCTAGAAAGTCTTTTGGCAGAAAGGTCTTCCCTTGTTTGTTTCTTTTATCTCTAGAATCACAGTCCCATACTGCCTGATATCTCATTTAAAGAAAGCAATTTCTTGTACCTTTCTAGTTTACCATGAGAGGGCAAGTCCAGTGACAGTTTCTGACAAACAGACTTCCAGTTATTCCTACAGCCAAAATGGGTTTATTCAGAATCAGCAAAGAATTGCAGTTTGGGGTCTGCAGCCATGGCAAACCACATGCAAGTCCTTCCACAGCGAGGAGAGGACTCTTAAGGAAGGGAAAAGGAAATTCGAGGGCTA